GGGCTCGGGACACGCAGCGCTGGGACGAAATGTCTTTAAAAACTTAACTGAAAAAACGCTTTAAACCCGGGAACAATGGGCTTTGAGTGGCAGCGGGAACAGCTCACTGACTCGTGTCTACCCGGGTCAAAAGACTCGACAAGGGACCTGGGTTAAAATCTCCTCGGCTCTGATCGGCATGCCGTGGGAACACCAGAGCGGGGTTGACCCGATAAATTTCGTGATACCATCGAACGCATCACACAGACATCAACACACCGCGCCAGTCGCCTCTGATCTAACAAGCAGAATAAAACTCTGTTTACATTAGATATAAACATGGAGCAGCTCTAGTCACAGGGATTCAGACAGGTAATAGAAACTATAAAGCACACTGACTACATCCTGGCTTCCTTCCATTTTGCTCTCCGTTGTTTACTTTCCTGATTTCTGTCACACTGATGACATCATCAACGCTAACCCAGCCTGATGGTATCACCACACACGGAGCGGCAGGGGGGCTGAGGCCACGCAGCTGCCAGCGAGGGGTTAGACCAGCTTTTTTGACCAATGGAAAGGGAGCTAAATGCGGTTTGTTAGCGGGTCAAAGCATGTTTGAAAAAACACACGTTAACCTGCTATTTTCAATAGAAAATAGGCTACATCATCCCAGTCGTCAGTTGCTCCACACAAGCAAAGGCTGTTTTCGATTTCAGGGGCTGCGTCCTCCAAGGTGGACCTGGACTAGGTCCTTGGAGGTCTGTGAAAATAATGAGGCTGGAAGAGTTTGTCTATGGATTCAAAAGTTTGTCTATGGATTAATTACACACTAAATCAGTAGGTTGGCCATATAGTGAAGCTTAAAGTATAATATTCTTTCCTCAAATGATTTTGAAATGTACTTTTATAGAACTACAGCAACAGAAAAGATAACTTTTAACTTAATCCTCTGAGCTCTGTGAGCGCTAACCTGGAAGCTTGCTGCTGCCGCAGTGCATGCTGGGACAGCTGTCAGTCTGGAGAACGGACA